AGCCTTCTAAGCAAAAAACTGAGTTTAACGAGCTATTAATTGAATATGGCATGACTAGAATCTCGCTTCCCCCCACGAGAATCTCTCCGACTTCATCTACTTCCATCGACACTGTGTGCACAACTGATGGACTTCTCACTGACGTGGCTGTTCAAGTGATCAAGACTGGTATCTCCGACCATACAGGCCAGTTGTGTGAGATTAATGTGAATGCAAAACTCAAGAAGCCAACGGCATCTTTTTGCTCAGAAACTTTGTTAAACTCAGATAACTTGGCAAATCTTAAATTGCAGTTACAGGAGGAGACTTGGGAAATGGTCTACAGATCTTCTGAGGTAGAAGGTGCCTACAACAACTTCATTAGCATAGTCACTAATATGCTGAACATGACTTGTCCTCTGAGAAAATCTCATATCAGGAATAGAAGAAGACGCTTTCACTGTTATGATGAAGAAGTGAACCGTATGAGAGCACAATTCCTAGCCGCTCAGGATTCATTCATTATCAGTGGAAAAGAAGATGACAAACGCCTTGCTGCTGACTTGAAAAAGATTTATGACACCAACCTGAAAAAGTTAAGAAGAAAGGTAAATTCTGAGTTCATACAAAGATCTGATAACAAAAGCAAAGCCATCTGGAGGACAATAAACTCAGAAAGAACTCAGAAAAAAGTGGACAACGGCAACCAAAAACTGAGGATCGACGGAAAACTTGTCACTGACTCCAAAGTTCTTGCTGATCATTTCAACACGTACTTTTCCTCTGTTGCAGAAAAACCCTTCAAGGAACTCAGACAGTACGGTTACAGCAAAAAGTAGGGGTTGCTCCCCCTAGCATTTCCTTTCCCATGAACACCTTACATCCAACTGACAGCCAATGAACTACATGAGATAATCCGTAAGCTAAAACCAAAACCATCTGCTGGGCTGGATGAGATATCTTCGATAATCTTAAAGTACTGATCTGAGGAACTAACGCCTCCCTTGGTTTATATTACAAATCTCTCCTTTGAGCACGGTCAATTTCCAAGCAAACTAAAGCTGTCAAAAGTAGTACCACTACACAAGAAGGGGCCAAAAGAAGACGTTGGAAATTTCAGACCCATTTCGCTCATATCAACATTTTCAAAGGTTATTGAGAAGATAGTGATAAAAAGAGTGTTTCATCATCTTGATCTGAACAACTTGCTAACTAATCATCAGCACGGGTTTTTGAGCAAACGGTCCACCTTGACAGCGTTGGTGGAAGTGGTTGAATACATCATTGACCGAATCGAGGAGGGTGATACAACTACTGGCATATTTCTGGACATGACCAAGGCTTTTGACTGTCTTGGTCATGACCTGATACTGGAAAAGCTCAGCCTGCTAGGTTTCGAAGATTCAGCATTGAGGTGGTTCCAGAACTATCTTCAAGGAAGGCATCAATTGGTTGAGTTAGAAGAAGTCCGAAATGGAATAAAATCTAAGACCAGATCTGTACTTTTGTCAACATCAAGGGGAGTACCACAGGGATCGGTCCTTGGACCTATCTTATTCATATTGTTTACCAATGACCTGCCTGATTTCCTTCACCAACATTGCCATACAGTGATGTATGCAGATGACTCTGTTCTGCTGACATCTGGTGAATCTGTTGAAAATCTGGAAATGAGAACATACGTGGCTCTTGGGTATGCGGAGGACTACTGTAGTAGTAATGACTTGGTTTTCAACGAATCAAAGACCATTCAACTAACCTTTGGAAACAAAAGAGAAGATGTAACAGCTATACCAGGCCTACTGACTGTGAAGAATACTAAACACCTAGTAGTTATAGACGAACGACTCTCTTGGCAAGACCATCTAGACCACCTATGTCGACAGCTTAGTAGCGCTCTATATGCTCTGAGGAGAATTAAGAGCGTCTGCACGCAAGAGGCTGTGCTTGTGGCGTATCACGCCCTATTTGAAAGCCATCTGCGATATGGAATAGCAGTTTGGGGGTCTGCGGCTCATACTCACTTGGAACGTGTATTGATACTGCAGAAAAAAGCTCTAAAAATCATGTATGATGCCGACTGGCTGGAAAGTTCTAGAGGTTTCTTCAAAGACAATGATCTACTTACAGTAATCAGCCTCTACATAATAGAAACCATTATTTTGGCCTCAACCAGGAATCTCAAGCGACATGAAGAAGTACGCCCCAGCTATAAAACGAGAAATAGAACCAACTACAACCTCCCTGCTCATCGCCTTGGACTCTTCGAACGTAAGCCTACCTATGCCGGATCAAGATTCTTCAACATGCTGCCAGGAGAGCTGAAAGATGACAACCCTAAAACCTTGAAAGCTCGACTCACCCGTTGGTTCTGCAAGATGCCATTCTACAGCATAAAATAATTTATGGACTGGCCTAATTTTGATTGTATTTGACAATAATTCATCTCAATTCTGTATTAATATTGTATTGACGCCTTTCAAATCTCTAAGATTTTGAATAAAGATTTTCTGTCTGTCTGTCTGTCTGTTCTTTAAATAAGAACGTTTCAACTGACTACTAAGATAAGATCCAGGACTTTTGTATTGACCTGGCTAATGCAAACTGTATCATTGTTACTTTGCCCCAATAAAATGATTTGATTTGATCCCCGTGCGTTGAACGGGCACACAGTTAGTGTTAAAAAACACTTCATAGAATGAATCTATATTTCACACCACTATGCTTAAAATGCACTGCAGGGACTGTAGAATCAATAGAACATGTTATATTGGAATTATCAATTATCAATCATTGAGATGGGGACGCCACCTAGGTGCGTAGTATTTTAAACCAAATATGAGTGAAGGTTTAGTGTAGAATGGTGTGTGATGACCTGTGTAGCTTTGTTACTGACTAAGATCAGTGGTTTCATTAGTCAGGATCATTTATTTAAAGCCCAATGGTTAGGAACAGCTGGGCCCAGTTTCGAACCATCAAAAAGCTACTGACTTTTCTCGGGATCGATCCGGTAACATATCTGTAACCTAGGGTTAGAAATGCATAGAGAAATAAATAACTATCTACGAACAATCAAGAAAAATATATAAACTCACACAGAACAACCACTCACTTACCAAACAATATCCTGTAGCATTGGGTTTCTTCCTCTTCTTCCCGTGGCCCTCCCTTTCGGGTTAGGTTAGGCCAGATGGGCCAGATGTACCCCTGGCCGAGAAGAGCATCTCAAATCCAAACCTTATATCCTTCTAGCCTATATCTCCCTTAGAATTATCCCTCTTTAGAGCACACATACTAACTAAAACTAAAAAAAAAAAAAAACATAAACGTAAATGGCATAAGTGACTAAAAAAATGTAGGTATATGTTTGTTACAGATAAATGTGAAAAAAATAAACGGTAAATATGCATTTTAGGGTTTGCACGCGATTTTTGAATTTTTTTTTTCATTCTACTCGAAATTTACCGCTGATTCCGAAAATGACGTTCTTTTTCCGCGGAAAACGACCATAACGCGGAAAAACGACCAAAACGACAAAAAACTTTTTTTTACCAAAACACGTCATGTGGGTACTCAAATTAACCGTAATATTAAGCAGATCACGACTATGCAAGAATTTTTTGGATCCGAGGTCAAATAAGCGAGATTTTCACGTAAATATGCGATGCTATTTTGGATTTTTGCTCCAACTTTTGTCTGTGTTAAAATACCAGCTGATCAGGATCAGCTGGTCATTATTTTATTATAATTGTTTATGTTTTAATTTAACAGGTAAAAGGGATGATACTAAGCAAAACCTAACCTAACCTAACCTAACCTAATCAACCTAAACTAAATAACCTAACCAACCTAACCTAACCTAACCAAACTAACCAACCAAACCTAACCTAACCAACCTAACCAACTTAACCTAACCTAACCAACCTACCCTAACCTAACCTAACCAACCTTAACCAACCAACCCAACCTAACCTAAACAACCTAACCAAACTAACGTAAACAACCTAACCAACCTAACCATCCTAATCTAAACTAAACTAACCTAACCAACCTAACCTAACCAACCTACCCTAACCTAACCAACCTAACCTAACCTAAAAACCCCGAATTCCCACCTGTCCCCTAGTGAGTTGGAGTTATTGCAACAACCTAACCATCCTATTCTAAACTAACCTAACTAACCTAACCTAACCTAACCAACCTAACCTAACCAACCTAACCTAACCAACCTAACCTAACCTAAAAACCCCGAATTCCCACCCGTCCCCTAGTGAGTTGGAGTTATTGCTGGTACTATCACGTTTTTGTGAAAATCTCGCTTATTTGACCTCGGATCCAAAAGATTCTTGCATGGTCGTGATCTGCTTAATATTCCGGTTAATTTGAGTACCCACATGACGTGTTTTGGTAAAATAAAAAATTTGGTCGTTTTGGACGTTTTTCCGCGTTATGGTCGTTTTCCGCGGAAAAAGAATGTCATTTTCGGAATCAGCGTTAAATTTCGAGTAGAATGAAAAAAGAAATTTCAAAAATCGCGTGCAAACCCTAAAATGCATATTAACCAAATAGACTTTTGACCCAATGAGAGAATGAGAATGAGAATGATTTATTTCCTGAAAGCATAATATGTACAAGGAAACGTCAATACATCAAAATTTTAGCCTAAGCCTGCAACACACAGGCCTTGCAACCCCAGCAGCACCCAGAGAGAGACCCAGCAACCACAAGGTGATAAAAGGAAATCAAATTCAGAAGTTTGTGTAAAATTGACTACGGTGTTAAACTACCAAGTTAGCCAATAGGCATTCAGGAAAAAAACACTTGTATTATAATCAATGGTATAATTTAATTTTCAAGCTTTACTCCTAATACTCCCTTTACTCTCCCATTAATACTTGTTCTTCTCTTTTTTTACTTGCTTGTTGAGTACTGACTCTGTCTGACACCTGGACCTGACTGACTGAGTAGTCGGCCTTCCATCCCGTCCCCCGTTCCGTATCGTCTATCGTCCGTCACTCGTTGACTCGACTCGTTAGACCTCACCTACTGAAGCTCTGCGGAGTGCTGACTGAACTCTGATTAGACATCGAGAACAACTCAGTTTATGGAAGGGTTAATAAATATGTGAAAAATGGCTGACGAAGTGTGGAAGATTAGAGAAGACGGATATTTAGATTTAGAAGTGGACTGTAATAGGATTACTTATCATCCAAATCTGAACATAGTTCTTGTTTTATCCAAGTTCTCCGAGGTTCTCATTATAGACGTGAATTCAGGATTGCTGTTGCAAAGAACTTTTTTATCAGGTGAGTCACGTTGGCCTAGGACCTCTTGATCAGGTATTTTACAAGTGTTTACTAGCAGTTAATTTGTAAACATACTCTTCATAAGCTATTTTACATTCACATGGACCCTTATGTTATCAAGTTTCCTTAGCATAAATTCAATAATTCGTTGGAATGGGTAAAATGTGGTACTTATGCCTAGTGTATCTTAGCAAGTGATCCAACCTCAATTACTTAATTCACTAGGCCTACTTGTCTAGGCTGAGTAGGTAAAGAGTTGAAGGCATAGGTCTCGACCATATTGTGATTGTCAATTCAATTCAATTCATTTATTTCCACGGTAACACCATTTTTACAAGAGGTACAATAAGTAGTAGCTATCAAACTCAAATTTAACAACAAATAAAGGCTATTCTGAATAAATTACAATAACAAGAACAAGAAAAACATTATCAACAATGAAGATGGAAACCATGATAAATTTTTTAAAACAATAACAAAACAAGACTTAACAAAACAATAAATACACGGTTTGGAATCCTCTAAGCAAGACTTACATGACAAAAACAGATATAAATAGGCCTACTAAAGTGACAAAAATAAATAGCTGATCGAAGTCATGTAGTAATTCCATAGGTTTGCTATTTCATTAGGTTTTTTTTAGTTTTGTTATCTTTCCCTAGGTAGCCTAGGTCTAAATGGGTGTCAAATCAAACTAGGATGATGATCTCTTATCTTAAAGTTGCACCACAACATAACCTACCTGTTAAAAATGCAGTTGCCTGGAGCCTACCTAAAAAGTAGAAACCTTTTTATTATAAACTAAAGAAAATTGAGGACAAAAATTCAAATTTGTAAAATTTGTCTCTTTGAAAAATTGTACAACAAGTTAACTTAAGCCTAGATATCAACTTTTGGCTGCACTTTAAGTATCTGTCCTACACTAATTCAAATGAATAACTTGAAAAGGTTAATTGAATAACTTAGTTAGGTTAACCTAACCTAACTAACCGAATGAAATAAGTTAGTCGGTAGCCTATATTGAATAATCTATAGGCATAGGCCTAGGCCTTAGGCTATATTAACATTTTTCATTCGAACGAGTGTAGGACAGATAACTTAAGTTTAAGTGCAGCCCAACTTTTTATAAAACGTCAGGCCTAACTTACCTTGTTTGATCTTACATTATCTTACTACACTACCTACTAAGTTATAACTTGGAAAGAACTAGGCCTATGTGCAATCAAATTTTAACTTAAATATCTCTGAGATGGATTGAGTTGAAACCAAAGTCAAATTGATGCTAACCCTATGAATTCATTTTGTGTGGTAAATTAGCCTAGGCCTAACAATGAAAAAATTCCATAACTTAACCCTAGGACTGCCCTGATCTGATTCATGCTAAAATACTTGGTGCCCTGGCTGGCAATTTTGGCCATCTTGCAGAGGTTTTTAACAGTTCGCAGTGCCTATAAAGTACCTAGTCATAGCCTATTCATACTTTTTTTGTTGGTAAATTAAAGGAGATTTAAGTAGGCCTAGAATAAAATAAAATATCAGGAATCCCTGTTAGTGTTTTTTTTGCAAAATGTGAAGAAATACAAAAATATCAAATTTTTGTTATAATTTTCAAAAGCAGAGGACTAGGCCTACCTATTTATTTTTTCATTTTTACACAAAATTGTTTGTAGACAATCTAAGATACCTATATGAAATCTAGGCAATTTATTTCCCTACGTGGATATTGTGATTGATTTTGGCTTAAGCAAAATGGCCAACTGACAAAATAGCTGATTTCAAAAAAATATTTTTCAGTTTTCCTAACGTCGTATGACAAAGTTCTATATACGAAAATAAAGAACAACTCAAGTCCAATGGTACCAACCACTTCCTATTTAGGCCAAAATTATGACTTGTTGATTTTTTTCAAGATAGGCCTAAAGTTTTTTACGAAATTTTGTCAATCACGGCTCAAAAATTTTACGGGTGCTAAATGTTGTTCAAATTTTAATAACTTAGCCTAGCATTTATAGCCTATTGGTCTGTTATTGCTACGAGGTTCGTTTATATATGAAAATAAAAGTTCAGAATCTCTTCTTTCCAACGGTATCAAAATTATTTCGCTTCAGGATCATTTTCATTGGGTAATTAAGCGTTTGAAAAAAGAATTTCCCAGTTGGGGGTTGGGCACCGAGCACACATAGGCTATCAAGTCGGCGAAAGGCAGTCCTAGGGTTTCATTGAAATTAATAGGTAGGCCTATATAAGTGAAAGACTAAAACGTACAGTTAAAGTTATAAGTTACGGTATGTTTTAGCAAATTTCCCTTTAGGGAAGTAGTTATTACCATAACCATAAATTTGACCTAGGCCCGGGACCGATTTACATTTTCATTTCATAGGCCAAAAACACCATTCGTTTAAATTTGTATATATGTAAATTAGGCCTATATCTGTATATATATTACCATTGAGTTATGTAAGTTAAGTGTCCGTGAACACGATAACTCGAGTAACTTTTGTCCGATTTTGATGAAATTTGGTTTTAAGGTGTAAGACGAGATAAACTTGAATGAGTTTGCAAACCAGCATTATCAGACCATGGGAACGGGGTTTTACAGCCGGGTTTTATTGGGTAAAAATTGGTTTTTTTTGTTTTGCACCTTCAAAACAAATAAATTCCAAATTTATCTTTAGACCTTTTTAATGAGCTTAAAAAAACAAATGATTTAGTACATCAAAGTGTTTTTGTGCGGTTATTGGTAAGTTAATGAAGAAAATTCAAAAAATTGTAAATTTAAAATTCACATATTGGGTACCCATTCTTATGGAGAATATTGTAAAATGTTGTGGTTTGCTTGTTTATGGAGGGATCTATGTTGATCAAACTCGGCAAATTTACTTATTTTCATACTAAGCTTTTAATATTATACTAGAAACCACACTTTATTAATTCCCTTGTATCAGCAAACCTAGGTAGCCTACTTGTTAAACCTAATGTTATTTAAATAGATTTAATTGAAAATTTATTCGGACAAGTGGATATTCGCTTAGTCGGCAGGTTTGCTGCGGCGGGAGTATTTAAGAAGTTCCACCCTAACAGTCAAGCTAAATCTTTATTTGTAAAGAAACCACTCAGCCAATCAATCTGCATTTTTTTTTTGCTTAGGCCTACTCTTTGTTTGTTGTAAACTGTATGATAAAATTTTAACATTTTATTTTTGACTAGCTGTACCCGCGGGCTTTGCCCCGTTTAGCTTCATAAGTATTCGCATGGCTCAATCCCGTTCTGGGTTAGAATTTGTATAGGCCTAATCCAGACAATGATGCTTTTCCAACCAATAATTTTTTGTTGTTGTTAACAATTTCTCCTGTGACTGGGAGCGGGCCTCCTGGTCTTGGTACAATACTAGAATACCTAAGTTACTCCCCTGCCAGGCAGGAGCGTGCACAATGAACTTCTTTAAAACATGTCTAGGTGTTTTAATTTTAATTTTACATTAATTTTAATGTTTATTGGCAAATGCTGTACTGAACTGAGCTATACTCAATTAGGCTAAACTAGATCTTTACTAAGATCATAATACCCTCAAAACATTCACTTTCTATAGGCATACCAAACTAGGCCTCTCTGTCATTGTCATAATGTTGTATGAGTTAACAAAATTAGGCAAGCATTGTTAAAAAAACCTCTTCATGAAGGTAAGCCTACTTGCACTTGACATCTAGGCCTAATACAGTACTGATTAATACCCCTGCCGCAGCAAATCTGGAGATGGAGCAAATTTCCAGACACCGTGCGTAGCCTATAGTAGCCGTGTACGATTTGGCAACATGGCCAAATTTAAAACACTGCGGAAAGATTAATAGATTGAGCCTTTTTTAGCAAACCACAATGGACAATTGCAAGCCACATACCTCACGGGCCTGGACAAGATTCTATTCATAGACGAGCATGGTGTGGGTGTGCGAGCCAATTATAATGGAGTTTTGCTGCTTGACACCATACTACAAACTCCCATATCTAGGCCTGATGATGTTGTACGGTTGGAGTTGCTGGTCTCAGAGGTAAACATATCCATCTACACCAACAGCCTCAATACAAATATTTTACAAAATCTTCACTATCATTTCATAGTAAAAAAGCTGTTTTTGCATCTTGAATTCTGTAGTTGCAAGTCGGGACCACATAAGTTTGCAGTTGAGGGAGGAGCCTATTTAGGCCTACCATATGGTTTTGAATGAACCAATGAGAAAGGAGCGGTGTTGCCAAATCTAATAATACCAGCTGATTTGTAAGTATTGCTTTATTAATTAGTGTTGTCAATGGGCGATGTGGCAACGTCGCACTACCCTCGTCTTGTGATTGGCTGCCACCAACTGCAAACTTACGTGGTCCCGACAATAGTTAAAAATGAAATTTTTATGTTAGAAGACAATTCATTTTAGTAAGAATTTTACAACTTTTTGCAATAACAATTTGAGTTTTTATGTGTTGATTTCTAAAAATAGGTTACCTTTGTCAACGGCTCAATCCGTTGTAACTTAGACAACATAGCTAAATTGTAATATTTAAACATTTAATCCTTACTCCTGAGCCAACTGGCCATTTTGTTAGCCAGTCTAATTGATTAGATAAAATTTTACAATACACACCTGGGTTTTTATTTCTAAAGGACTTTATATCATTTTTTTAGCAGTTATATTGATCCATTTCTATAATTAATGTGAATAAAGATCAAAACTTGAATGAGCAAACGAGTATGGTATTTTTAGTGTTTAACAGTATCAAAGAGTAATTTGAATTGTAGGCTACAATTTCAATATTTGCAGGCTGTGGTACTTCAACAGACGTTAGTGTCTATGGACCTGCCTGGCGTGGAACATCGGTCCGAGGTTGTCACAGCGTTAACAACCCAGATTGCACTAGCCAATACAAGGCCTAAGAAAGGGACAAAAGCACACAAGGTGAAATAACATTAATAACAGATCATTGGGTAGTGGGGGTTGCTTGTTGGGACGGACCTAGTCTCAGTGCACATCAGCACAAGTGGGCTTTTTGCGCTATCTGTTTGGTGTCTCAGAGCCTGTAAAACCTGAGTTGCTTGATGAACTGCATCATCCTGACTAGCTTCACCTGAGGAAGGTGTCTGCCCCTTGTCATGGTTCCAAAAGTACTTTCCCTTACCTAAAAGGAATGGGGAGGAGTTTAAAGATGCACTGCCCCCACATTTTGCAAAGGAAGTCTCCATTGACTATGTTTTTTGGTGGAAACATGTCAAGGGATTTTCCCCTTATTTAACAATCTGTAATCATGTAATGTCAGAAAATTTTTTAAATAATAAGGGGGCCCATCACATTTGTTTTTTAGATAAAAATTTAGTGGGAAATCTTTTTTATTTCCATTTTGGGGGGAAGGGTTTGTGAGTGGCTGTTATACATCGGCCCCACGGCTGCTGAAAATCTAATTCAGTCACCATATCATGTTTGAGAATAAAAACCTAGTTCAATCTACATCCTTCGCCAATTTATGTCTTTCTCAAAATTATTTCCCTCTGACTGATATTTGTCTTCAATTGTTAAGAATAATACCAACAAAACATTTTGTTAATGGGCTTATCAAATTTTTTTCTTGATTTAACTTTAAAAAACTTTGTTCTCAAAGCCTTATATTCTGATTGTTCTTACATTATCTGGGATTAAGACAAGTTACTTGTTGTTTAATTTTTGAATAAGTCGTATTTATATTAGGCATAGAGAAAATTTGTTTTTTGTAGGGGCATAAGCCTATATTTTTTCAGCGAGTGCCATAAACTCTTCATCACACACGTAGGCGTGCATATCCTGTGAGGAATATTTTTCTTTCATTTCACAATGATTGTCACTGTAAAATTGTATAGGCCTTTGAAATGAATAATCTTGAATCTTATATCTTTTTACTAATTTATAGGGGAAATAAGCTATTACCGTAGGTCTCATGGTTAGACCTGGACTGATTAACTTTTTTTGTTTTGATACCCTCATAGGCCAAAAGTACCATCCATTCAAATTCATATCTTGTAGCCTACATGTAATATTATAAAGAGGAGGTGGTGTGTCTGTCTGTGTGTGTGATTGTACACACTAAACGCAAAAACTACTGAACCAACTGGGCTCAAATTGATCACAAATAAAGCTTCAGCTCTGAGGATACATTTAGATAGCCTACCTACTTATATACATTAACTATTCCCGCTTTGATATTGACCTAGGACTCTGTCCAGTGGGCTTTCAAAATTCTGGGGTGACATTTAAAAAAGTAGGCTAAATATTGATTGGTCTCTATGGCAACAAAGAGCGAATTCACAATGTTTAACCCTCCAAGTGTCCATAGTTTAGGCCTTAATGTCCACCTATTTTTGGCGCATTTGCAAGGTTTTATTAAAACGGATCTGAGAAGCTTAAAACAATGTTAATTCTGATGTTCTATATACCATTTTGTTTGGAAAATCATGGGCTTCAATATTATATCTAAAACATAAGGAACATTTTTTCAAAAAAAATTTTTTAGGTAAAAAAAATATAATTTCGAAAATTTTCAAAAAAAAAATAAGTTCGCGCTCAATGAAATTGTATAAATTATAGGCCTATAAATATTTGAAAATAGCCACTTTGTTCTAAATTTTATGAGGATTACAAATATACAGACTGTCCCAAAAGTCCCAGACCGGTTTAATATTTTCTAAACGACAACAGATAAATCAATAAGATTTTGCACATCAACACCACACCTAAAAATCTACTTTTTTAATGAACTAAAAATTTTCTGTCATACCATGGAGACGTCCCGCAAGGAGTCAGAAGGAAATCTTAAATAGAAGCATAGGTTGATATGCACATCAAATTAAAGACCTTTACTAGCAGAATATAATGCCGCAAATTTGAACTCAAACGGATAACTGAATAAAAAATGGCAGCCGTTCAAAGATTTCTTGAATTCGCCATTTTGAATCTTTGAACGACTGTCATTTTTTACTCAGGCGTTCTTTTGAGCTTGAATTTACGGCATTGTAATCTACTAGTGAAGACCTTTAATTTGATGTGCATATCGACCTATGCTTACGTTAACAATTTTCTTCCCATTCCTAGGGCTGTGCCCCCCGAGGAGTAAGCGTATAATAGCAATGCAAATTAAATGAATCTTTGAACCACTGTCATTCTTGACTCGGTTGTCCGTTTGAGTTCAAATTTGCGGCATTATATTTTCCTAGTAAAGACCTTTAATTTGATGTACATGTCAACCTATGCTTCTATTTAAGATTTCTTTTTGACTCCTTGCGGGACGTCCCCATGATGTGACAGAAAACTGATATTTCCTTAAAAAAGTAGATTTTTAGGTGTGGTGTTGATGTACCAAATCTTATTGATTTATCTGTTATCATTTGGAAAATATTAAACCGGTCCGGGACTTTTGGGACAGTCTGTATAATAATATAAGGAAGTAGATTTGCAAATAAATAAGTTATGGGCAAAAAACAGATTTCAGTACATAGCGTTTAGCTAAGAATGCATAGCCTAACCATAGCTAGGAATCTGGCTGATAATTTACATCAATATCACTACCTACTTCTTCAGGATCATCAACCAGCACTTCAAAACCACTTAAATCTTCTTATAATGCAACACGTATATCACTACTTTTGATTTTTAACACTAAAACAATGATAAACGTAATAAAACACATCAGTCATCGGTCGGAGGGTAACCTAGCTGTTTACAAATACACGCACGTCGGCACGTCAGCTGTCTGCTACATATTACGATCGGCTCAGATAACGTACAGCGCTGAGACAGACCTCTGGAGAAAGCTTAGAATGAAACGGAAAGAACGATACCTAACTCGATCCAGTTCAATCCGATTCAGTCAGTTATAGAGCCTTCGCCGTAAACGATGTCTGCTTGTCGAAAAATCGACAAGTAACACTACACAAAGTGTGCTGCTTGTCGAATTTTCGTCAAGTAACACTGGGAGGGTTAAAGTGTCAAATGCACTTGATTTCACAAATTCCAAACATCAGTTTGAAACAAATTAAAAAACATTCATTGATTAAATAAGTTAGAGTCTATAACCTTTGTCGAATCATCCTCGGCTCTAATCCTAAGTTTTATGAGTATTATTTTCTAGATTTATTTTTGGGGAAACAGTAATCAACAGGGTGTCTAGTAATCAGGAAAAACAGGAAAGTCTGGAATCAGTGAATTTTAAAATTTTCTTGAGAAATCAGGATTTAGTCTTTATTTGGATATCAAAGTCGGGAATTTTTATGATTTTGCCGAGACCACGCAAGACGACGATCACGTTTCAATGATGATGATGACTACATGGCCACAGAAGATGTTCACGGTTTTGCCAAAAATGATATTAAGTTAGTGTGTTTTGCTTCAGTGGAACACTATCTGCCTGGAGCTGCCTCACTGTTACCTTAAGTGGGTGTGTTCCGGACTGGTGTCGGAGCTGAAGCGACAGAACCGCCACATTCCTGCTCTGGCCATCGCGAGTGCAGTCAATGAACGACTTAACTCTCTGCTGCCTACCAATGCGGAGGGACAACAGGTGGACAGGACACTAATGTTCAGTGAAGCTATGCGACGTCAGACATTCTCCAAGTGGCCTCACATGAACTACAAGTGAGTACAAACAAATATAGGCCTAATATTAACATCATTTAATCAATATATATAATATAGATTAGTGATGAGTTGGTTCCATTTTTTTCAGTTCGGTTCTGGTTACGTTTTTGGCCAAAAATGGTTCTTGGTTCCCGGTTCCATAACAAAAAATTTCAAATTTACACACGCTAAAATTTATTTTAAACACTCGAATTTATTTAAAAGTTACAAATGCTTCTATTGCCTCTTGATATTAGTTTTACTTTTGCCTTCCCTAAAATATTCGTGAGCTCAAAGAAGAAGTCGTATGGTGCAATATCTTGTTGCCTCTGATATCATATATCATCGGCTGTTGTGCTTTAAAGAGGTGTGCGGATAGTGAAATTTGAGTTCGGATCGGATAGTTGTGGCTCGTATCGGATCCGATCGGATAGAAGTAGGTTCGGATTTGGATATTTTTGGATCGGATAGTTTGCTGTTATTTAATAAATTAATAGCAGGTTAATAAGTTAACATCATTTTTATATATCGTAACATTAAACTAATCCTATACTCTAATACGAGCAATGTTTGCTTGTATGTATGCTTGCTTGCTTGCTTGCAGAAAGATCTCGAAAACGGCTCCGACGATTTTCTTCAAATCTTGTAAATAGTTTATTTTTGGCCTAAAAACAAGTTTCATGCAGTTAGAACTGCCAACAAAAATCTAATTACCTAGAAAAACGAAACTGAAAGTCAAATTTTTTAACATTAGTCTTATGGGTTGCTAAGTAACCATGTTGGTTGAATTAAATAACAAGGAAAAGGTAAACAAAAGACTTGAAGTTGTAGCACGTGTTCATAATAAACCAACTACCCACAGTATACTAGCAAATTACAAATACAGTACAAAAGGAGAAACATCACTTGTTAATATTGAGCAAAGATTATACCAAAGATTGATTATACTTAAGATTACTCGAGACATTGTAGTCAAGGGTAGCAGTGCGAAGTCTAGGATCTGTTTATGACGAATACATTAAGGTATCTGCAATCCTAAAATGCTATGGGAAGGGAAGGAAACAGGTCCGTGACGTAGGAAGTAGTGAAGGAAGTAGTAAAGGCAATCATAAAATGCTATGGGAATAGAGGAAAACAGGTCCGTGACGTAGGAAGTGATGAAGGAAGTAGTAAATGCGAGCAGTCCGGAGTGTGGGGACTGTTTATGACGATAAGATTAGGGTATCTGCAATCCTAAAATGCTATGGGAAGGGAGGGAAACAGGTCCGTGACGTAGGAAGTGGTGAAGGAAGTAGTCAAGGCGAGCTGTCCGGAGTGTGGGAATTGTTTATGACGATTAGATAAGGGTATGGGCTATCCTAAAATGCTATGGGAAGGGAGGGAAACAGGTCCGCGACGTAGGAAGTGGTGACGGAAGTAGTCAAGGCGAGTTGTCCGGAGTGTGGGAACTGTTTATGACGATTAGATTAAGGTATCTGCAATCTTTAAATGCAATGGGAAGGGAGGGAAACAGGTCCGCGACGTAGGATGTGGTGAAGGAAGTAGTCAAGGCGAGCTGTCCGGAGTGTGGGAACTGTTTATGACGATTAGATTAATGTATCTGCAATCTTTAAATGCAATGGGAAGGGAGGGAAACATGTTTGCGACGTAGGATGTGGTGAAGGAAGTAGTCAAGGCGAGCTGTCCGGAGTGTGGGAACTGTTTATGACGATTAGATTAATGTATCTGCAATCTTTAAATGCAATGGGAAGGGAGGGAAACAGGTCCGCGACGTAGGAAGTGGTGATGGAAGTAGTCAAGGCGAGTTGTCCGGAGTGTGGGAACTGTTTATGACGATTAGATTAAGGTATCTGCAATCTTTAAATGCAATGGGAAGGGAGGGAAACAGGTCCGCGACGTAGGATGTGGTGAAGGAAGTAGTCAAGGCGAGCTGTCCGGAGTGTGGGAACTGTTTATGACGATTAGATTAATGTATCTGCAATCTTTAAATGCAATGGGAAGGGAGGGAAACATGTTTGCGACGTAGGAAGTGGTGAAGGAAGTAGTAAAGGCGATTAGTATGGAGTGTGGGAACTGTTTATGACGATTAGATTAACGTATCTGCAATTCTGAAATGCTATGGGAAGTGAGAAAAACAGGTCCGCTACGTTGGAAGTGGTGAAGGAAGTAGTCAAGGCGAGCTGTCCGGAGTGTGGGAACTGTTAATAACGATTAGATTAAGGTATCTACAATCTTAAAGTGCTATGGGAATGGAGGGAAACAGGTCCATGACGTAGGAAATGGTGTAGGACGTTGTAAAGGCGAGCCGTGTGGAGTTTGGGAACAGATTTATGTATCTCCGATACTAAGACTGCTTTCAGAGTGAACTAATGATTTTCTCCGAGCAAAGCTCGGTCCCCAGGTACTATTATTGATCAGATCAAAATTACTCAACTGTATGGTGCATTAATTTAATTTACCTGGAATATGTGTTTTTATCTGTTTTTGTTTTTATGTCCCTAGACCATAAATGTTGCAATTACATCTTATATTTCCTCTTACATGTAGACATTCAATCAAGGTCTCAGTTAGCCTTCTTTTTTTTATAAAAATACTAAATAAATTTTAAGTCTTTGATAATAGGCTTAGGCCTATTGTAAAGTATGCTTAAGTTTAGTAGCCTACATAACTTACAATCTCTTTCCAATACTTAACTGTATTAAAAATACAAATGGTTTAAAATAGGCCTAGGCCTAGCCTACTTGTTTTTGTTTTCATTGTAGGCTAAACGAATGTAAATAAATGTCATAACAATGACCAGGGTGTCTAGTAGTCGGGAAAATCGGGAAAGTCGGGAATTAGTATTGAATTTCAAAATGGTCTTGAAAAGTCGGGATTTAGTCTTAAATTTGATTTCAAAGTCGGGAATTTTCATGATTTTGCCGCGATCGTCGTCTTTTGTTTACGTAACCGCGAAAGCCAATGATGATGATATCTGCTCGGCCGCGGGAAATGTTCATGATTTTGTCCCGATCACGGACGACTACGATGACGTTTCCGTGACCGCGGGAGACGACGATGATGTCTACAGGGCCGCGGGAAATGTTACCGGTAATGATTTTACCGTGATCGCGGACGACGACGATAAAGTTTCCGTGACCGCGAGAGATGATGGTGATGTCTAAACAGCCGTGGGAAATGTTCATGACTTTGCCGCGATCGCGGACGATGACGTTTCCGTGACCGCGGGAGACGACGATGATATCTGCTCGGCCGTGGGAAATGTCCATGATTTTGTTGCGATCGCGGGAGATGATGATGACGTTTCCGTGACCGCGGGAGACGACGATGATATCTGCTCGGCCGCGGGAAATGTTCATGATCGCGAGAGATGACGATGACGTTTCCGTGACCGCGGGAAATGACGATTACGTTTCCGTGACCGCGGGAGATGACGATGACGTTTCCGTGACCGCGGGAAATGACGATTACGTTTCCGTGACCGCGGGAGACGACGATGATATCTGCTCGGCCGCGGGAAATGTTCATGATTTTGTCGCGATCGCGGACGACGACGACGTTTCCGTGACCGCGGGAGATGACGATGACGTTTCCGTGACCGCGGGAGACGGCAATGATGTCTACACGGCCGCGGGAAATGTTAATGATTTTGCCGTGATGCGGACGTCGACGATAACGTTTCCGTGACCGCGGGAGATGACGGTGATGTCTAAACAGCCGCGGGAATTGTTCATAATTTTGCCGCGATCGTGGATGATGACGATGACGTTTCTGAGACCGCAAGAGACGACGATGATGTCATTGATGTCTACAAGGCCGCGGGAATTGTTCATGATTTTGCCGTGATTGCGGGCGTCGACAATAACGTTTCCGTGGCTGCGGGAGATGACGGTGATGTCTAAACAGCCGTGGGAATTGTTCATGGTTTTGCCGCGATCGCGGACGATGACGTTTCTGAGACCGTGGGAGACGACGATGATGTCATTGATGTCTACAAGGCCGTGGGAATCGTTCATGATTTTGCCGTGATCGCGGACGTCGACGATAACGTTTCCGTGGCCGCGGGAGATTACGGTGATGTCTAAACAGCCGCGGGCATTGTCCATGATTTTGCCGCGATCGCGGACGATGACGTTTCTGAGACCGCGGGAAATGTTCATGATTTTGCCGTGATCGCGGACGACGACGATCACGTTTCTGTAACCGCTGCAATCAATGATGATGTCTAAACGTACGGTACGCGGAAGATTTCATGATAAAAAAAAATTAATTTTGCTAGTTAGAATTTTTTATTGCTGCATTATTTCTTTACTTGAAAACACAACATTATCATAATACTACTTTATGACAAAGACAGGGGTTGGTGTAGTATTATTTAGAAAATTTGGTTAAGCTATAAAAAATGGTATCGGTATCAAGAATCGAGAATCGATACATTTTGGTATCAACACCCACTAATTGTTGAAAAATCTAGTCTTGAAAAATCTGGAATTAGTCTTGAAAAGTCTGGAATTAGTCTTGAATTTTGTAATGAAAATAAACTAGACACCCTGAATGACATTAATTGAGATAATTTAGGTACTGTAGGGGAATACATAAGTTACTTTAGCAGGGGTGCCCATCCCCCCCTAGACTCATGACGCACCCCCCCCCCCAATTGAGCAACAACCCCCCCCCCTACCATAAAGGATGTACACAACAAAATGAGAAACATTATTCCCCCGCCCAGCACTATTTGTAAAACTATAACAGAAGTTTTATAATTTTTTTTAGACATTTAAAATTCAAACCCAGTTAATCTATATAAATAAAGTTATAGTTTTGTCTGTACGTTGCTCAGAATTATACATATTTTGGGTTATTTTTAAGTTTTATACATTGAAGAAGTTGATTGTTATGAATGCAAATAAAATGAATGAATAATAATAATATTTTTTATTTCCCATTAATTACATACATATAAGTACATTGTTTTTTTTTCTTTACTTAAATATAATACAGCAAACATTAATAACTAG